ACTAAAATAAGTCTCGGTATTTGTCAAGACATCCTCGCAGAAAAGTCGCATGGAAAAGAACTCACTGGAATTTCTGTCCTTTCTCGAGAGTGGCTAAGAATTTTTCTTCCTTCTGTTCCTCGTCAGCTTTTCCACCTTCCCTCTCAAGTGCATTCTCATCTACGGTTTTTGATCTCTGCTTTCGGGAGAGGCGTTTTTCCCTCTCCTCGTTCTCCTAAGATAAAATTAGCATTTCCTATGAAAACTCATATTTTTGTTTATTTATTTTGTATTTATAATTTTATTGTCATTACTAATTTATTTTGTACAAAACATTTTCTCCCATACCAAACTGGGAGGAGACAAGCAACCATCACTATACAGGGGGAGGGCAAAAAAAATTCACTTCGACCGAGTCATATATCGGCAAGGTTTTCGCTGACAGGGCGTGGATACGAGTACCAGGGCGGGAAATACCCAAGATGTTCCTCTATAAGCAGGAGCTGTCGCCCATCACCTTCATGTACACCAAAATATGAAGTCATCTCCAGTCGCAGCCTGACTGGAGAAGACCTTTGGAATTCATGTCACCTCCAAACAGCTGCGAAACTTCTAGTATGGAGTCACCCATGGATAGCTACCTGGAGACCAGTACTCTCGATCTGGATGATCTCCAACATCGAGCAGCTCCGACAACGTCGCCACGGTCTAGGACATCATCTTCACCACAGTCGCCAAGGCGCGGGTGGATGGTATGGACCGGACGTGCCTGAAAGGGAAGACCGATATTTTCTTTGTAGACCCTGACTGAAGGTGAGCGCTGGCGGTTACATCAAGTAACTCGAGAAGAATATCCTCCTCACATGTCGTCGCCCGTACCTTCTTGGAAACTTTGTACTGCTATGCATTGGGTGCCACCACATGGAATCGAAGGGCATTGGAGAAAATTTCGCCTACTTGGAATGGAAGGGGGCTGAATACCTGCCAGAGGTAGACATCATAGCTATGGTCACCTGACCTGAATCCCTCAATTACCCGTTCGGACGAGAGTTCAATAGGGTGGTCTACGGTGGCGGAGAAATCGACTATCTCGCTGATCTCAGGCACCACATCGCGGTCGCGTGCCAGAATCTCTCGATGGCGCTCGTCCAGAAGGCTGTGGCGGAGTGTCATGATAGTATTTGATATGCTCTTCAATATGGTGGTAAAAATATCCACGATCAGTAATTTAACATAATTGCGACTGCGATAGAGCCCGAAAGTCAATTGCAAAGAAAACGACTTTTTTTGATCCCCCCTCCCCTGTACATGCAGAAGGGGGGAACCAATAAGAAAGGCGCAATGGGTGATGTTACCCATTTCGGCGTCGTCGCGTAGGGGGGCCGGACGTACTAATAATTTTTTTTTACAAAACTGAAATTTTTAAAATGAGGTGGGACGCGTGGCGCACCCCAGAAAGAAACTGTCCATTGCTGAATATTTCGTTTTTCTTGCTTTTTAGTTATGTAGAAAAACTGCAAACGACACATGCCTGCAGTGCTTGTCGGAGTCGTATGAGGAGAATTTTGAATATTTTAAAGCATTCCTCGATTTTGAAGGTACCCTTGTTCTCACAGAAAAACAGCGCAAGATCGTCTTGGATCTTTAGGAGGTCCATCAATGAATGGTTAGTCTCGGCCAGCTCGATATGACAGTGCTCCTAAAAAATCTTCTTTTTTCTTCAGAACATCAGAACTAAATCCTGGAACTGTCTTATTGTTAGTGGACCATGTTGGTAAAGAAAAACTAAACCGGAAGCAGAGCAAGAAAGCGTGGTGGTGGACTTACCGTAATATATTCCCGTATCTCCTCGAATTCGCTGTCTTGCTTCGACTTCAACTGATTGCTGAGACTGGTACATTGGTCGCTTAGAGATCGTAAATTTGACTTGATCTCTTCAAGAGACGTTCTGCAACGAAACGACCACGAATGCTTCTCAACAACCTTTGGTCCCGTTTAAAGACACACTCCACGCTTATCGGAGACAAAAAGTCACTACAACACATCCGCTACTATTCATTGATTAGGTTTGTCGCATAAGTTTCTTTAATACAGGTGGTGACTGACTTTTTTCGTGAAATATCTCAATGGGTATCAATACTGAATTAGAGGTATGCATATCACGTAATGCGCACTCTCGGACGTCAGGCGATCAGACTCGTGATTCTTCTTCCAGAATCGACGGGCGTGGACTTGAGGAGTCGTGTACCGAGTGCTTTTCTGAACTGATCTTTTGTTTTCGAGGAGTTTTTTTTCGCGTCCAGAGAGCGGCTGCAGGGTGGGTGAACAGCCAGTAATCAGAAGACGAGGTCAGGGCTGTAGGGTGAGGGTGCGGTCGAGCCATGCAGATCCAGGTTCACGTGAAGACGTGATTTCTCCAAAGCTCGGGGCTGGGTCGCCTTTGCAGTGGTGAGGTGCGGGAGTTGTCATGGCGGAGTAGATTTTTGCGCATTCTTCACGATACGGTCGAGTGATGCTTCAATTTCCGCAGCTTGGGTCACGTTATGTGGAAGGCGTCAATCGTAGCTAATTCCTTCTCCTCAGCATGCTCCCAGTCCTCCATTCCTTTTTCGTGAATCCAATCCAACAGAGGAGATTCCTTTTTGGGGTGAAGGTCGGTCCTTTGGGCTGGGCATCTGGCTTGTTTCTCCTTTTGTTCGACCGCACTGCCTGCTTCCTCACAGGGTTATCGTAGAGAACCCATTTCTCATCTCCAGTGATCATCGTTGAGAAAGTGAAGCCTCTTTTGGAAAGTGAGGAGAGAAGTGCAGGTGGTCACCCTCCTCGAGAGGTCATAAGCGGACAGTTCATGTGGGACCCATCGACCAAGCTTGCTACCTTGCCGAGCTTTTCTAGTCCACGTGCAACCGTCGAATGATCATAGCTAAGCATGGTCGCCATTTCTCTGGTGGTGAGGTACGGGTCCTCCTCCACGGTGGAACGTAGTACTTCCAAATCCAACTCCATCGGCCGACCCGACCGTTGTCGAGCATCTTTTTTTCTGAGAGAAAGAGTCTCCTTTCTTGAATTTGGCGAAAATTCTTAGCATGTCATGTAAGTGAGTTGAGAATCGTCCTCGTTACCCTGTAGTATCTTTATTTACGCTAGCTCTGTTTGGGTCTTACTCTTGGCATCGCAGCCAGTGAATGTGGAGGCAAAAACAACAGTGGCGCAGGTATAGCGTTTTGTCAGAAGCAGTGCAAATTGTTGGGCGAGATTGTGTATAGACTAGCATGCAGAGCTCGTGAGTGATAGCTTGTGTAATGAATAGAGTTAAATGTACACGTTCACGCAGAGTGATGACCGTAATAGCCAACAACTCATGACGTTGTGGAACGAATATGGTTAGAGGATCAAACACAGTGTAAATGAGACCTTATGCGGAACCTAAATACTTCTTATATTATTATTATAGCGGGTGGGGAACGCAGCAGAATGATTGTAGGCCTTCTGCCCATACGATTAGCCTTTGACGTATTTTCCATAAACAGTACTTTATAGACCTAATTCGTAAGAACCTTTTGAATTTGTTTTGTTTTTAGATGTGTTTGCATTAAATTGACACAAATCGACTAACCGCTTCGAAGAACTTTTTCTGGGGCGATCAGAAGGCTCAAGCTAAACGCTTTTTTGAGCTTTGTTCACTCTTCAGGAAGGTGATTACCATGGAATGGTATCAAGGTGGCATACCATCAGCGGCTCTCTACATTTGTCTAATCTCCGTTAAATGGCAGCGCTCCTAATTACCTTTCCTTCCTTGTTTGGAGGATAGAAAAAGAAGGGAAATAGAGCCTCCTGCATGGGGTCCGGGAGAATTTTTGGCGGGGGGAGTGGAAGGGGTTATATAATACATACAAAGTAGAAAAAAACTACGAAAAGTCAGCCAGAAGATCAGAAGGTCAATTACTTACCCACTCCCTGAAAACAAGAAAACTACAATAAAAGTTCTCTCGGCCCGATTATGGGCCCCCTATCCGCCGAATCAATAAATTCCCCTGTTGGGAATTCCCAACAACGATGGGCGCTGGGAGGGAGAGGCCGGGGATAGATAATGCATATGAAATGGGAACTATTAGCAATCAAAAGAAAAATTCCCAGGCTGAGCACGGTGCATAATCCTCCCCCCCCCCCCCAGTTCGGATCTCAACTAACGGCATGCTGTGGAGGGAAAGAAGGACGAAAGGTCTGGAGAGCACGGTACGAGCTCCGACTGGATACGACCAGCTCCTCATCTAGTTTCTTGAAAGCCGGCTTTAATGACGTTCGCGATGTGAGGTCACACTACAGTGTATTCCCGCTGTCCTTCAACATTACGGTAGAACCTCACAATACCATCACAACGTCGGACGGAGTAGGTGTCGTCGAGCAAGCCGTAATTGCCATACTTCATGTTGGAAAACCTATTTCACGCAGTCCTTCACATTATACAGGGCACAAAATTTCACGAGCTACTCCAACAGCTTTTTGATGTTCGACTGGAAAAGAAATATAGCGGGTGACGAAATGCTCCTTGTCTTCTAGACAATCCATTCCTAAGTCCGATGATTCCTGGGAGACTAAGTTATTCCAGAAAAGGGACAGAAAATTTTCGATATTTTATTTTATTTGCCGATAGATGCGCGAAATTTTGAAAAACAAAACAAGAGTAAAAAGTTCACAAACATATTCGTCTACCCACTTAGTAGAAAATACTCACTCTGACGCTCTGTTAATGTTCGGCAGTTCTTGTTCGAGATCAGTTAGTAATTCCGAGTCCATCTGAAGTAGCAGTTTAATGTCTAGAAATGATTCAACTCAAAGCAACGCCTTAGAACAACACAGTCCACAATAATCGTGTGAACTTAGCCAAGTCTACCATCCATTAATCATCGGTGCACTTATATCTTCTGGAATGTAGGGGCACGTCGATGAGAAACAGGCAATGGTAGGCCTGACACCGCCCATACGGCCAGTGTAGACTAAGTTTTCAAGACTGAAAACATTGGTCACCTTAGCAAGAAGATGCAAGAGCGACGAAGATCCTTTCGTGGCTTTATGGTCGATCACCTGCCACAGGGAACTCAACTTGAATCCAGCGGCATTCCCATGAGTTGACGAACTATTCAGATAATTGCCGATGTTCACGAGCAGCAGCAAAAGACGACGGAGTGCATGCGATTGTCGGAGCTCTAAATTCCTTGAGAGTTATTCAAACGGCCAATTGTAACCCCTCGCCAAATTATATCACTTGCTGCCGCCAGTAGACGTTTCTAGCCCTCTCTTCCGCTATAGGAGGTGTCTCAAAGGTCTAAGATGTAGAGTGCAAAAACCACCAATATCTACTTATTCATGTAACTGTCCTCCCTTTAAACCTGAAGGAAACCCCAG